TTAGCTACGCCCCCTTCGGATCTGCCTCCCCCTAGACCTAGTATGGCGCCATTTATGCCTCTTCCGTTCTAGGTCGAGAAATTATCGAGTAGCTAACCTTAACGGAATTTTCCAATTCAAGAACAGTCAAGGGCAGACAAAGCCACTACTAGGAGGCCCACATAGTACTAGCCGACAACTTTTCGCGCAATCTCCGACCCAACCACGATAATCCAAAGCAGTAGGTTCGTGGTTTCTCCGGTCGCGTGGTTTTCCTTTTCTCTCCTATACTCTTGAAACGCTGAGTGTGAACCAACCTGGCCCAACCTCATCAGAGACAGTGCACATCGAACGCTGGGGATCCCCAGCGAGAGGCTTGTATGATCGCCGGAGCTAGTGGGGGGGGGGGTCCTATTTGCTTTCAGAGAAACGAATGCACTGTAAACTGTAACTGTAAACGTCCTAGCCCCACTGCACCCACTGGCGGCAGTTTTCGGGGGAAATTTATAGAAATTTCCAAAAGAACATCACAAAACTGGTGGGATACTGGAAAGTTTTGGGAAGACGATAAGTAGGTTGGGGATGGGGAAAGGTGGAGGTTCGTACCTGAGGAGGAAGGATGAGATTTCAAGGGGGGATCGTGTTTTGCAAAAAATCTCCCTTCAACAGCATGGCGTACCCTGACCGGGGAACCCGAGGGTGGTGAGGGAACCTCTTGGTTACGCAGTGCCTGAAGAAGTAGGACGATCAAGCTTGTGATTAGTGCCTAGCGCTACCAGTATCCTTTAATAGGTATCATGCCTACTAAGGTGTTTGGATCAGTAGCTTTGGTGCCTTTAACCTTGTCGGTATCTTCACTTGGTAGGGGTGTCGACTGGAAGATCTGCGTAAAGCTAGTTAGCTAGGGAGTACCATCCAGTGTGCAATGAGGATCTCCCATCTGACATCCCTCGAAGACGGTTCTGGCTTGGAATCTGACTTTACTTATATTTCCTAATGTACAGCTTGAAATTTTATTTTGTTATACAGTTATATGGTATTTCGAACTTCCCAAGTCTTCTATCATCAGCACTGCAGATATGGCGACGAATTTTTCTCGCCTGCCTCCACTTCCACCACTGCGTGAGTTCATCCACATGTATCGCCTACGAGCCAAGAGGGTGTTGTCTCAGAATTATCTTATGGACATGAATCTTACGAGGAAGGTAGGCCTACCATTTGATTCTATGCTTTACTTTCAAATTTTGTGTTCTGTTCCCATTTTCGCTTCCCACCATAAAAGCAGTTAAGTGAGTGAGGTTGTGCGGACCTGGTGGTATGAAGGACAGTGCACTCTGCCAGAAACGTGCAATGCGCGTTCAAGTACCACCTAGAAACAAGACTTTGGCCCTTAACTCAGCATTCTTCTAATAACTTTCCTATATATTCGCTTGATTCATTACAATTGGGAAGAATTCCCGGTACATTTCAGATCGTACGACAAGCAGGTGTTCGACCAGGTGATTGGGTCTGTGAAGTGGGACCAGGACCAGGTGGCATAACTCGTGCTATACTGGAGGCCGAATGTGAACGGCTAGAATGTTGTGACGAAAAATCGATCACGCTTTCATTACCGTCCACTTGAAGGTTTGAGCCGCCTTCTTCCGTTATCCCTTCATACGTCATGTCAGCTTTTTCAGTTATTGAGCCGAAGCTTCAAGATGCGTTCGTCTTTTCGGCATTCATCATGCTGAGTGTGTTGAAGGACGTACATTGATGCTGTTGGAATTGATGTGGCGATCCAAAAACGTTCTGAATGGACTGATGCCCCTCCTAATATGCATGTTATTGGTAATCTTCCATTCAACATCGCGTCACCATTGATAATCAGGTCAGTCGTTTAAGGCTTCTCCCCGTTTACTTCACCTTCACCTTTAAACTTCTGACTGAAAAGTTTTGATTAAAAGTGCAATTACTTTTCATGCCAGTTATGGGCGTGTTCCTCCTGAACTTACCACTCCCTTCTGAAAACTGTCGCTTGTCAGATGGCGTACCCACACTTTACCCTCATCTTCACACTTATAAAATCATTGAAATTGAAATTAATAATTTATGGACTATTGTTGTAAATACCCCTACACTACCTTACCCATACTCTTACTGTAGAGCGCTGGATCAGTTCTTATCTCATACTCGCTGGCTGCTTCTCGTTATAACTTCTGCCTGGCTTTTTCTCTTGAATGTATGGTGGGCAAGGAAATGAGTAAAGTACGGGGATGAGATGTACCCACAACCTTGTCCAGCTTTCTTTCTAAGGCCGTTTGGGCGCCAGGCGCTTGGTGAGGCACCAAGTGGTACTCAGCGAAGCTTGTACCTCTCGAGACCAGGCAAATTTTTTTTTTTTTCGTCGCTTAATTAGTGTGCACTAGCAAAATGCACTAGCAAAATGCAGACTTGACGGTGAAAGTGGCAAAAATACTTCCTCCTCAAGCATTACGGCGCCGCGGCCCTTTTGTTTTCGTCAAATCAAGTGAAGGATGGAACTGTTTGAAAGTTCCCGGTAACATGTGTCAAATGGAAATGAGAACGTTTGACTTAATTTTCAAGTGGTTATTTTTGTGTTTGCGACTCGTTCGTGAATTTTCTAGAGTCATGATTTTCGCCCAACTAGCAAGACTTGATTTTACAGCGATCGCATTCATGCTCATTTGCCAGTTCAGGCTTTTGAAAGATATGTCGTATCGAAGAGATGCATGGCGATTTGGACGCGTTCCACTGACGTTGACGTTCCAAATGGAAGTCGCACAGAGAATTTGTAGTCCTATCGACAGCGATTCTCGAGCGAGAATCTCGATCATGTGTCAGTACTTTGACGAGCCAAGTTTTGTCAGAATCCTGGGTAAGTAAACTTATACGAGATTACAGTTTTGTTCCCTGCGGATGACCAGCGGGCGATAATATGTCAGGCGGGATCGGTTTGGCGCGCCACCTGCTCGTTTTCCACCACTTTTGAGGAGGCTAAGCGCCAAGAATTGCTGGAAAACGACTGATATGAACGACATGATGCAGTTTTGCCGTTTCACGATCACCCATCCATAGCGAAACGAAAACGTAGTTTCCTTTCTAGAGATAATGGTCTTCAGCTACGGTATTTTTATTTTCTGTTCAGGATCATGCTTTGTTCCACAACCAGATATCGACGTTGGTGTTGTACGTTTTGTGCCGCGAATACAGCCTTTGATAAGTTCTCCATTCGAGGTGCCTTTTTTCTCTTTTCCGTCCAGAAAGGCACGTCTTAGTGATCTCAAGGACCAAAAAGTGATGTCAATTTATTCAGCTGGTCGAAAAATTGTGCAGACAGATCTTTCATTATCGCCAGAAATACATGATCAAAGGCCTGAAAAAACACTATATCCTAAAGAGGTTCGTCTTTTTGCTACTGCTATGAGCCGTCACTTCATTTTATGGGTGTATAGGGAATGAAAATCGTAATATGCCGCGCTGGTGGGCGTGGCGAGCAACGCCGCGTGCGACAGATGTGTTGTCCTAACTGATGGCTTTTGATTGGAATGTTGAAGCGATGGACATTTGCATATGGCCCCATTTTGATCAGTGTTCGAATGACGTTCACAAGACTTACACCAGTAGTTGGCACACGCGAGAGCCGGTAGCGTACCGCCGTTCTACCCGCCGCGGACGACCACGCGACAAGTTACGATTCCCTTGTCGGTCGTCTCGCATTTTCTGGAGTGGAGGGCGCACCTTGGCCTCAAACGCCGCGACTGTTTCTCATCTGCCTTTCCTTTTACGCATTTTTTGTCAGTCTTTGTCGATAAGACTGTTCGTCGAATTGAGAACATCTGGAGGTAGGGGATCGGTTGGTTAAAATATGCAAAAAGAATGAAACAAGCTAGGTTTCAGAAGCAATACCCGCTTAGCCCCGTGCGTCTCTGCGAACAGTGTGGTTAGTGCGCCTTGTACCCCGAAAAATAAGGAATTCCCTTTGCTGCTTCAAAAAAAGGCGGACGTAGCCTAGTGGCAGGGGCGCCGCCTATAGTTAGTGGCGCGGTGAAGTGCTGGGGTTGAATACTGATTCGGCTCCCATCAGAGCCAGTCGTGCCCCCCATCCCTCCAAGGCTGTTAGATTCGTACCGCACTCGCCTGGGAGGACAAAACACCAACTCATACTTCGCATGGCCCCGCGAGTCGTTGTGTAGGTCATATAGCATACAAAAAAGCATTACCGTGTAGAATGTTTGGTGCGTCTCAAGGGTGATGACCAACACTGAACGGTTTACCCTTTATGCTTTCCTGAGAAAAGTGGTAGCTGTCCGGTTTTTACAGATAGCGGACGATATGGCTCACCAGCTGCTAAAAGACTGTCGTGTTAATCCAACTGCTTCATCCATTCAACTCGGCATCGAGGAGTTTGCAGATTTGGCCGCCGGTTATGAGAAACAGTGTAGAAGGTGAGATTGTCGCAAGATTACTGGAATTCTCACTCTTACGCTGTTTCTTGCCCTCCTGATGTGATCAGACTACTAAAAAGCAACAAATAGTACCAAGAGCAGCACCTGAAGTTGCGGCCAAGTCCAGTACCGAAGTGGCCCGTCTAGCCCTTCTGGGAATACAGAGAGTTGCATAGTTCTGTCATCACATGTTCTTGAATTCGTCTATTTTCAGTATGCCTGGATTGTTCTTGTACGACTACATCAAACCAAAGAACACAATCGAAATGCTCGCCCAGAAACCAGGCGCTGTTCCACCGGAGAACCCATACCGATTCGAAAAAGTTCCTTTGGAAGGAATACGATTATCGGATGCTGACAGATTTCTCAGTTAACACTGGCAGTATGCTCATCCTACAGTACATAATGCGTCTTCATCAGTCTGTCGCTAAATCTATAGCGGGCGTTTCAGTAACATTGGTTTTGTATGTGCATAAGACTTAGGATTGATTTAACGCTTTCTGACAGAATAGTTCGGTACATCTTGCTCCGCCCCAAGGTGTGGCCCATAAGCATCATCGTCGACGATGATGTTTGGAGCCTTGACACCAACCAGCCGTAGCGGGTGAAACTAGAGTTTTTATGGTGGGTGATGCCGACTGATAGAAAGTGATACCGACTGATAGAGGCTGATAGAAGGTGTGAGAAAGAAAGCGCCACCATTTTTGTTCCCTTCGCAGCAACAGTAAGGCGCTGGTTTCAACAAGTGGAGAAATTTCGAGACTGTATGCCTTCAAATGGGTGCTAGTCAGCAAAAACAGCTCTCAGACTTGTTGTTTTCTGGTGTTTTCTTTTTCCACATACTGGTAGCAAAGCTTTTTGAATTTCTGTCTTTAATTCTAAATTTTAAGATAGCTACTGTAGAAATATACTGCCTTAGAAGATAGTACGCGTAGGTAAATTTATCCGTTCTTATCCCTTCACTGAAATGATTTGTTCAGTTTAGGTGTCTTTTTCATGTTCTGACTTTGTTATTTCCTAATCCAGTTGTTATTTTTACTTGTTGATGTACATAAATATTATTTTATGTGAACTTTATGCATATCAAGGAGCTAATCTGGGCTCCCAACGGTGTTTCATGGGAATTAAAACTATATATTAGTATTGCTTTTTAAACGCTGATGTCTGTGATGATCTAAGCAAATGAGCCTCAGTATGATGGAGCAGAGAAGCCAAAATAGTCTGTAATCCGCAGATTCGACTGCCCTCCACCGAAGAGGATTATGGCGGTGGACTGAACGCAGACGACCTTAGACATCAGGCCAGAATGACATGGTGGCTTTAGGATGTCAGCGGTTTTATTTCGTGCGCAAAAATAACAAGCCGCTCTGAGACAGATGTGAAGAGACTATTATCTGCCTGAGAATCTTGTTTCTGCTTTTCCTATAAGTTGTTTCTTTTCCCTTTTTAATGTTATCTTTTTACTATACACATTGCTCTTTCCTTATATTCTCTAATGCTTACCCCCACACCAGCGAGAAAAGTTTTTGGCCGAAAGAAGTTCGATTAAGGTCTAGCACGTCCTAGAAATAGGCACCAAATTAGTCCTGTGCAAGACTTAAAAAACGCCAGGTAGCTATTAATTAAGTCAAGTGGAGGATAAGACAAATATTAAGCAGGAATGAGGAGCCATCGTAAAATGCTTTGAATTCCAGTGCGAAGCAATATGTGTGATGTCAATACAGCTGTGCGAGCAGGATAATCGCTAACAAGGGAATTTTAAGGAGATTCCCAAGATTTTATCCATTCCTTCGTTTCTCATAGTATCTACGAGATCATAGAGCTGGGACGATTTTGCAGGTGCTGAGACTCCGCTGTGAGTTATCATTCAAAAGAGCAGCATGCTTCAAAAGGGATCACTCACCAATGAGGCCCGACGCTTGGTCACAAAGTAACGTCGTGCTATCTTAGTGAGGAGGTGTGAAGGGGCACATATGTCTCAATGAAACGATATCACTGTCCAAGACTTGTCAACAAACAATTGCGAAGTTGGTACGATCTTTCTTTCGTCGGAGCTAGTCAAGCAGTCAACAGCACAGACGAGCAGATTATGAGTTGCTCAATCTCTCTGAAATATTGACGTACATCCCAAGCACACTCTTTCACATTTCGTCGAAACAGTTGCCTCATCTTCACGACGTCGATGCCAGCTGTTAGTGTATGTCAGGGTAAACCATAGCAATTAAACCTTTATAAACCTATTACTGAGAGTATGCAAACAAGACGACAAGTAAAATATAGCACCCCTCGTGGCGGTGACCGCCGTGACGAGCTCACACCGAGAGAGAGTTTTCCTGCTACTTTGAATGTAATGGGTGTCAATGGGCATGGGGATATTCGGTCTCGCTCGTCAGGATTTGTGTCCGTTGACTTATAATCAATACGTTGTTTTCTGCTCTAGTGGACAAACTGACTTATTCAACGTACGACTCGCTGGGGATTCTCCCGTACAACGCGGTCTGACGGCACATCGAGGATTTGTCGTCAGACCTCGTCGTACGTTGAAGAATCCCCAGCGAGAGGGGTCGTATTTGGTCGCTAGGGGGATGGGGATCGTATTCGGTGCGAGAAATTTTCTTTCGATAGTTGGTTGTTCTTGTTTAACGGATGCTATGAGGGAGGAGGCGTATTTGCTAGTTGTTGTGAGAGGAGAAGAGGAGGAGGGGAGTTTAAGTTTGCCTTCAAGAGAAATTTGCGGCGTTGGGAAATAGTTTTCCCCGGTTTTCGCGGTTTTTTTCGTTTCACATGTACTGTGTATCCCCCCCTACCCGCTCGGCGGCAGAGAAAAGCTAGAAATTTTTCAAGGAAATCCTGAAAAGGTGGGAAAAGGTTAGGAAGTTTGGAAGATCTAGGAAAAAGGTAGATGGTAGGTAGGATAGCGAAAGGGGAGGGGGGGTGGGGGAGATGGTAGGTAGTATAGCAAAGGAGGTGGGGTCGTAATTTGCGGAAATTTTCCCTATGTTACGATTGTCTTGTCTCCCATATATTATCCCTTCATACGGTTTTCATGGAGTGAGATGAAGTAAGAAGTGTAGAGGAATTCCTTTCAGCCACCGGAGTTCGTGGGAATAAACAGATGAGACATGCAACCCGATGAGGCCATGTAACTTCCCGACCTCTCAAATTTCATTCTGCGCGCGCAAGCGGAGAGGTGGACGGTCAATCAGTGCAATCCTCTACGAAAACATGCTACTGAGAAATTCTGTTCGAGAGTTACGAACTCATCACTAACACTTCGTGCGAACTCTTTACTTCTGACTAGTGGACAATACCCGATTCAAACACGTATTGAAAAACTTCTCTGTACACATGCGAAAAAAACATAGAATATTTGCTGAAAAACTGTCTCGTAACACAAACACTATAGCGCAGCATCGATAGCGTTCACAGTTCATTTTGACACACATCGCGGGCCCACAGCCTCAACGATATCTCATGTCTCGACGCTGGAATGCTAAGAATTTCAATATTCACGCACAACGACTTTTAGAAAATCACAGACCTTTTTAGCCTGGTAGGCCGAGTAGGCTACCCAGCCGACAACGACTGCCACTGCGCCCATAATAAGGAACTTCGTGCGTTGACAGCTCTCGTTACGACACCCGGTACACGACATGTTTGTGAGGAATGAATGCAACCTCACCGCTTCACCGGGTTTTTATAGACTGAAGAATGCGATATCAGTAAAAGAGGGCAAATGATGGCATGTTGAGCTGATGGAATCATTCTCTACTGCTTGAAAACGTTTTGAAAATCCACCGTTTTGAGCTTTTTGCTGGGTCCTTGAAGACTGGCGTCCGCTCAAAACGCTGACGTAAACTATGAACGCAGCCTGAGCAGGCCGAGCTGAATTCTAGCGAACTTAGTTTGAGAAGAGAGCAAATATATAAAAATTCACGGGTGTCGATGTCATGAGAGCAGATCGATGCGTATCGGCATAAGAATGACGGCTGCCTTGAAAGGTTTAGGGACTTTTTTTTGCAAAGGAAGGTAGGTACGCAGGTAAAATTAGTTGAACGGATAGGAATAGGAACGAACTTCTTTTTCACCGGACGTTATGCCATCTGTGGATGGAACTTACCAGGAAAGTCAACAGGTCAGCCTGGCCATTTGCAGTGAGATGCACATCACTGTATTCAACTTGACACGGTGAACTCAGAACTGTCTTCAAAATTTGCAGAACGATTCTCTGAGCAGAGTTATGGAGGTTTCTTTACTATTTTTCTCTCTTACGGGCGTGCTGGCGCCGAAGCGTTGGCACATGTAGCGCGACTCACAGCGCTGTTCGCGCAAAACAGGTATCATATTCGTGTTCAGGGGATCGAATAACCCCAGAGACGTCACCTTAGCAAAATCTGAGCTTCTGACTGAACTTCGAAAAAATGGGGTATGGATAGTCATGGCTGACTGATAGCCAACATCGATACTGTG